AGCGATGTTTCAAAATTTGACCAACTCTATCACTGATGGAGCTACGGTAGAAAACCAGCGAAGGCGGATTATGCGCCTGATAGAAGGCGAAGTCATCGAGATTCAGCATTAAAGAGGCGTATCATCAAATACAATTACCGACAGAGAAACGTGAAGCAGTCAGAGGGCCTCCCAAATTGACCATTCACATCAAACTTTCCGTTATGCAAGCATTAATCCGAGACGCAAGAATGCGTTGGGTCGGCTAGGCTCCGCGGTGGATCACGCTTGTGAGCCTGGAACTCTCCGCAAGATCCTCGAAAGAGTCAGTGGGTGGCAATTGCGCGTGCGCTGACATAATTTTCCGGCTTTCCCCTTTCTTTGCTGGCTTTAGCAACCCAGCTGTCCGCATCAGCCAATCCGTCGGTAGGTGACGGCTTGGGTTCACCCCAGGCATACTGTGCTGCATCAACAACCGGCGTGACTGACTGCTCCATGTTTTCTTTGCTAGCTTTAGGTGTTCTCATCTCGGAACATTCTTTCATCGCAGGATCGAAACCAACGTTCTCGTTATCCATAAATATGGGATCACATTCCGTCCAAGTGGGTGGTATGTCTGACATAAATTTGTGCATAAGCACGGGTGATTCTGATTCGGGGTTGCGTGAGAAGGATATCTCCTGCTCTTGCGGCTTCAGCTTAGAAGTATTATTCAACACAGTCTCTGAACACATGTCAGCATATGCTCCCAGCTTCCAGTTGAGATATCAATTACCTTGTTCCTGAACAATCTTTTTACCATCTTGCTTAGGGCTGGCACACCCACCTGCAGTGTCTTCCGAGGGATTGGATTTGGAGGTGGTGGAATCCGCCCTGGCTTCGCGAAGATCTTCTACGAGTTCTTTCGCATCGGAATGCTGATACCCATCCCCTGTTGTCACGCTCTGCTGGAGACATTCATCGATGAGGTTGTATGGAGGCGTTTGGGCCGGCAGAGTATTGGCAGGGGCCTTGTCGTTGAGCTTCATTGCTTGAGGCATTGTGGTAGTTGATGGATAAAGAAGTTTTGGAAACTGGGTCTGGGGAACTGGCTTGGTGAGGTCTGTGAGTGTCTTGAATGTCTGTTCATTGCCTCAGGATTTCGGGGAAACTGTGCCTCCTTATATGCCATTCTGTCGACACTCCTGGCACCTATTCTTTTGTCGTCTCCCCCTTCAGCTTGGGCCACGTGGATACGGGAGGAGATTGCCGTCGCTCCCTAAAATTTAGGGTGTATAAAACTGTGCCGCAGGATACATGGTCTTGACCTTGTCGATGTGATATGACAACCCGCTGGGAAAGCTTGCCGTCTTCTGCTCTGCATAGCGAATCACCCAACTATCCAGGTTGCATGAATTGTGCTATGGGACTCGGTCTCGATCTCGTCGGACTTTTGTCGATCTGAGAACTAGCCGTGTCGAACTGTCCGCGGCACATCTCGCCGTACCAGAGGTTGCCCTGATATCAGAGATGCTATCAGCCCATGATGGATGGACAATTATCGCTTCCGTTTGGCGGTCCGATTGGCAGACAGTTCGGGAAAAAGAAATCTAGATGCTAAGTTTGCTGTCCCTGAACCCCAGTGCAGCTGGAACAATCGATTAGATGTTGCTTGAACGGCAAAATTGTGGCTTGCAGTACTATCATTATAGCTTTATCACCCCCAGGTTCGTGTATGCCAGGCGTGAATAGCTTGTCACTGTGCCGTACATAATTATCCATATTTATTCAAAAGGATGATTGGATAGCATGGTCGCAAGAGTGGGAAAAATGGCAAAATTGGGATATTTGGGAAGCGGTAGGTCCTTGGATGAGTGTAGTTGCATGATGGTGAATAAATCGCTGCGGCGTGTCCGGTTATCCCCAGATTTCCCAAATTTCCCAGATATCCCAGATACATAAAAGTTCCCAAATTCCGAAATCTCTCAAACCAGCCACAATTAGACTGAAATAGTTCGGTGGCGGAGAAGCTAGTATGACAACAGATTTTCTTAGCGAATGCTTCGGAATGTATTTGCCTGATTTATCAACCTAGGCGATTAAATGGGTGTCTGTTAATGATAGTTTGAGGTGCACCTGATGCCATGCACCCACAACAAGACAAATTTCCCAAAATTCCCATATCTACCATCTAGAGCATGGGTGTCCGCCGCGGGGTCACCCCCACCTTCCACAAGAGGATTCTTTCAAGGATAAAACATTGGGCATCAAACTTCTTTTAACGAAATCATATACATATCTAACTGTCTTGAAACGCGATACGGACAATTTGGGCAACTTTAGGAATAATTAATTTACTAGGAAAACGCACGATCGCAACCCCCCTCATATCTTAACCCGTTGTCGCCTACCTGTCGTCGTGGTGTCGCCACTTTATTCGCGCTGGCGTACATCCAAATACCCTGTACTACTTTATTCGGTTTTTTCTCAGCTAAGGCGATTATTCAACAACTATGGATAAGGATGAAGTTGAGGACAACGGGGTTCCAATTGAAACACTTTCAGAAAAAGACATCCTTGAGGAAATAAAAGATAGGCTCCGGCAAGTGGGAAATTTGGTAGGAGAATCAATTCTACAACTTTATAGAGATGGTCTACTAATGTTGATAAGCCAACTAACGGAATCACACTGGACCCTGAAATGACGAGTACGTCAGGCGTCGTGACAGTAGGCTCAACCGTTTTGGCCCTTCTGGTCACAAGTAATGGCGGCGGTGGGGTCGTCAGAGTACTCAGCAAGCCGGCGAGGTACACGAAAACAGATGGATTGCCAGGAGAAGTTCTTCTTACGCTGAAGCCTGGTGAGAAGTTTTTGATCCTGGGTTCGCTTTCAGTTCGCTATATTCGCAGTCGAAACACCCAATGAATATACAAGGTCATTTGCCAATTCCCAGGCGAACAGCAACGCGACACTTGATCCCACGTCCGACGTAACCTTGATTTCGACTGATGGGAAGGCGCTGTACCATGGAAGTTTCAATTTCAGATTCGGACAGGAAGTCTCATATTGTTGGAGTAAACTTATTGTGGCCGGCCGATTCGTGAGGCTGTTGCTAGTTTGAAGGAAGTGGATGAGTTCTCGGGTGGTGATATTGACCTCTTGGTACGGCGGCTCGCTTGGTAGGAGGCTGACTTGAAGCATTGGTGTCTCGTCACGGTATACGAACATAGATCCTTCCATTGCACTTGACTGGCTATCGCTGTATGCATTTTCTTTATCTTTGGGCGACAGTACTGCGATTCTATCAGTAAGCGGTTACTTAGTTAAAATAGATGCACTTTACCAGTTTCTACATATTCAATCCCCTCCAGTTCACAGATATCCTTCACGGTTTCCAATAGCCTCTCCGGGTGTTCAACGCTTCTCCACCAGCTGCGAAGTTTTGGGATAAGCTCAAGATAACTCTTTTGCCCTATTTCACTGACCGTCACGAAGAAGGAGTAAAGGGCAAAGACGGAGGAGCTCAGTTTCGAAATTTTCTCTAAGTTTTCTCGTGCTGTTAATTTCCTCTGACGTGTTGAGCTTTTGTTTTGGCGCAAAACTTGAAGATTTTCCTTGAGAAGTTTGCAAGTAGCGCTGAATCGATTGAGCTGGTGAGTTGTTGGTTGGTGAGTTTCATTGTAGTACTTTTGTCTTTCCTCTTCCAACAGTTTGGTAAGCGGGTCTCGAAGCAACGCCATTCTGATATTTGGAATGGGGATTATGAGGGATTTTGAGAGTTGGATCAGAAAATGGGAAATTTGGGAATTTTATTATTTCTGGTGGCAATTGGGATCCGTCCTCGCGCTTTTCGTTTGGCGCCGGATCATCGGCCCGAAAAGGCCATTTGCTGAAAACTGGGCGTTATTGGGCAGTGGCTTGGTCCCAATGCCTGTTGGTGACCCCATTCAAACATATCAACCGTTACTTTTTTTATACCCATCCCTGCTTATTATGCCGTTTCTCGCTACGGAAAGTGCTCCCAACTGAGCCAATAGGAGCTTCTCAAGCGAAAATGATTTACTGCCTAACCAGTTGTCTTGGCTCATCTATCCGACCTCAACATCCACAATTTATTGGCAAATCACTTCTTCAGTCACGAAGACCGGTCCGTTGGAGCGCACGCCTGGAAGAGATTCAAAGGAGATTGCATACATTCTCAAAGTGTTTGGACAGCCTCAAAAAGTCGGTTCTACCAGCCTGCTTACTAACCATGATTTTCAGGATTGATGGGCCGTTCCGTCAGACAACAGTGGTCTTGGCTCGCGTCTTCTGACATGTGACGGGCAAGCGTTGATCCGTTTATTTTGGGCAAGATGGCTGGCATTTGTTCCTTCCTAGGTCTCTTTCCTCGTACCCATTTCGCTTTTTGATATAATTCGTTTGACACAATGAAGGAAGGGACTTCATACCCAATCAGACATGCGCCAGGGCGCAAGCTTTGTGGCTCCAGAGGGTTGAAGTCTGCTCCTGAGTCTAGGAAGTATCCTCGGTTTCCCGCGCCGTTCCAGTACCAGAAACGACGGGTTGGTTTGGCCTGCTTTAATCCTAAATGGGAATAGCCGGCTTTCCTCACTACCTGTTTTGTTCGCGCTTGTTATACCATTCCGTCGCGAAATAGGCACCTGGCTCCTTGCTCTATCCCGTTCCCACATTCGCGTTGTGCATCAAAGCCAAGCCGGATCAACCCTTTGACCATAATCCTCCCTTTGATTATATGTATCAGCATCTGTTCCCAGCGAACTAACTTCTCTCGCGGGTATCAATACATCATTACTTCCTAACTATTCTGCATTTTTGTTCCCGTGTTTGCTTCCCATTCATCATATGAAATCAGCATATTTCTCCCCTTACAACTTCTAGTTAACCTCACACCAACTCAACGGTCTTGTATACCGTTAAAATGAAGGGACTTTCACAAGAAGATCGCAAAATTATCAAGAATCACCCTCTCACCAACTCAGTCAATCATCTACAAGCCGCGCTTCAGGAAGCTGAAAAAATATATGAATCACATCGAACGCCGTACGATGGCCAACTCTATCAAAATGTGATTTCAAAACTTGTCTATGCTTTACAGGGAGAGGGTGCAGCCTACAGCCTTCCGTCGCGAATCAATGAAGGGGACGTGGCGTCTGATCTAGCACAATTATTCGAGCGCCTCCGAAAGGCAAAAGGAAACTTCAGGTACGACGACTACCAGCCGCTGGTGCACCTGGTTATTCAAAGGCCTCCGACTGAATCCCAGAACGTCGAAACCTGGAACTTCGACGTCTGGAACGCGGTCTTTTGTCTTATTGACGCCGTCTCGCGAGGCACTCCCCCTCCTCCTCCTCATCCTACATCATCCCTCCAACAGACGCCCTGGCTGCGCAACACTAGCAGTTTCGCCAATTCTACAGAATATCGAAAGCACGTTGACATTGTGCTGAAGGAGGAACTTGGGGAGATACACGTCGACATCCCTAGATTCTTTGACGCGTACTTTGGATACATTCCACAACTCACTGCAGTTTCACAAGCGGTGTTGGAGGAGTGCGAGAAGGGGAACAGCCCACTTTACCGTGAAGACGAGGGCTGGAAGGGCTGGCCTGAACTTGCGGCAGAAAAAGACGTTCTGAGATGGCTGGCTAACATCATCGCTGAGCTCGTACGATTAACCGAAGCACAAGAGCCGTCCTGGAAGATCGACCGTAGACCTCTCGCACAGCCAAGCCAGCCACTACAAGGGTCTGTCGCGGAGAGAAAGCTCGATGTCGGCCTTGTCGATGATCTGACGGCCACAGTGGACTCGAGATGTCACTGGTCACAAATCCTGGTGCCAGGGGAGCTGAAGAACGACCCGAAATACGACAGGAAATCCGGTGCATGGTTTGATCTTGGCAGGTACGCCCGAGAGGTCCTCGCTGCGCAGGACACCCGTCGTTTCGTGCTCGGGTTCACCCTCTGCGGGCAGTTCCTACGACTGTGGAACTTTGACCGCCTGGGCGGAATCGCATCGGAGGAATTCAACATCAACCGGGACGGCCTTCGATTTGTGTCTGTTATCCTTGGATTCCTCTTGATGAGCCGGAAACAGCTTGGGTTTGATCCTACCATCGTCGCGACCGGGACCGAACGGTATATTGAAATTGATAGGAACGGTACGAAGGAACGGCTGATTATCGACGAGACTGTTGGACGAGCACGTTGTGTTGCCGGACGAGCCACAACCTGCTGGAAGGTATACTGTGAGACAGACAAATTACGGACGCCGCTGGTTGTCAAGGACTCCTGGCAGTATCCGGAACGCACTGAGGAAGGAGAGTTGCTGCGAGAGGCGATGGCGAAGGGGGTCAAGAATGTCGCGAGGTATTATCACCACGAGACAGTTCGCATTGACAACAAGGATGATGATGTCTTGACTATCAGAAAGGGCCTCGGTATTCCGATTTCGAAAGATGAGAAGGGTGGCTTTAACGCGAGGGTGCGGCGTAGTAGGTCTCAAAGAGGAAAAAAGAGCCAGGGCAGCACCGCCGGCCAGAAGCGATCATCTGACTGCGTGGACAAGGCATTTCCTCCTCCCCCAAGTAAGCGTACCCAGTCAAGTTCTCCATCCAAATCTGCCGGCGGCTCAGCCCCATTCAATCGAGTTCACCGCCGCGTCGTCATCCGGGATTACGGGAAACCAATCTATGAGAGTAGTTCGAAGGCTACACTTCTCACTGGGCTGGCCCGCTGTATTGAAGGATACATGTCACTCCATGATGAGGCTGGCCTCATCCAATGCGACGTTTCCCCCCGGAACCTGATGGTGAATGAGGACAAGGACAACCCATCATGGCCTGCCTTTCTGATCGACCTTGACCTGGCAATCAAGTTAGAACGGGATGGGTCTTCCGGCGCACGGGGCAAAACGGGCACCAGAGCGTTCATGGCCATCGGTGTCTTGTACGGCGAAAAGCATTGTTTCATGCATGATCTGGAGTCGTTCTTCTGGGTCCTGTTCTGGATATGCATTCACTACGATGCCCCAGGGAAGGGAAGGATTGTCGAGCGTTTTGAGGAGTGGAATTATGTGAGCACTGAAAAACTGGCTGATGAGAAGAAAGGGGTGATTAGTGATGAAGGTGACTTTCTCAGGATTTTGAAGGATAATTTCACCCCATACTATCAATCCCTGATCACTTGCGTTAACCGGTTGCGGCGCCTTGTCTTTCCAGACGGCGGACGGTGGAAGAAACCAAATTTCAACCTACCACGGAACATGATTGAAACGCTTCAAGATGCACAATATAACTCAGATGCTGTAAACTAGTAAAGATTCTGTGTATTGTTTTGTCTTTTAATATAGCATCTTTGACGAAGAGATTGATTTTCTGGAAAGTCATACGAGGTGTACTTATGAGATTTTTGGAATGCCGCAAGGCCCGAAAAAGTTATATGATCCTACATTAAGGTGTATGATGATAGTATAGCTTTAATTGATAAATAGAATTAATGATTGCTCTTGTCCGTGGCGAATTATGTCCACTCCACTTAGACGGCTTACTAAATCGCTAAATGATCACAAGGATGAAATATAGGCCCCAGCAAATATTCAATGAAAAGAGATGGGAATAAGTTTGAACACTAATAAATATCTGGAGGTGGCCGCAGTCCAAAGGTATGTTGGTTTTCAGGAGCTTTTTAATGGGCGTTATGAGAAACTGCCGCCACGAAAGTGAACCGAGAAGTAGCCGTATGACCTCACATCCCATCAGCACCACAAATGAGCAGGTCGTCTTGGATCGCAGGTGTACATGTACATAGTCGGTAAGAATCACATTCCCCTAACCCGCGTTCCTTGTACTTATTCTCAACGTACCTTGCTGAACGGTCAGCAATAAAGCCCACTGGATATGGAAATAATGCTTACCAGCACTCAAATGTTCCGCGTTGGATCCCGATCTTCTCTCGCAGAGGCCCGTGGATCGGCAGCGAGTATCGTGGACATTCGCTCAAGTATTTCAATCATTTCGAGTGCCTGGCTATGGATCTCCATGATTTCGTCTCGCCGAAAGGTTTTGCCGCCGCCCTTGAGGTCCAAGGTGGTTGGTGAAGGTCTTCGCACGCCATGATTGGCATTCTGCATTGTGGTGAACACTTTAAAACTTCCTATTACAGGTGAGAAGAGCGACGGGGTTTCTGCTGAGATGCGAATATCTTGTCGATTTGCGGCGTATGATATATTACGCTTTAAGAAAATACATATAGATACCCAGAACCGAGGAGGCTTTTATACTTCTCTCCGGATCTAGACAGGAAATGGGTTCGAGGAAAAACCCAAAGTGAGAGGCAAAGAAAGGAGGGAGAAGGGCAAGCAAAAAATGAAACAAACAAAGGAACACACACAAAGAAAGTACCATACCATGGGCGTAGGCATGATAGACCTTTGGGCTGGAATGTGATAGGCGATGTCAATAGGGCTCGTGGGCCGGAATCAAATATGCTAAGCAGGCAAAGTTCAAACAAAGAGATTCAAAGTAAATGAGCGGACAATCAAGACAGGCAAAGTATGGAACAAATCAGAACTGAAATGGATATTGGCATGTTACACAGACAAAGATTCTAACTGATTGATTTTGCAATCTTGCATCCACTGTCCCTGCGCGATCTCCTTTTCTGCTTGAAACGCATGTGGCCCGTCAGAGTAGTCAGTGAAGGCCGCCTGTCCTTCCACTCTGCATGGAATTCTTTGACCAGCTCCTCGCAGCCCGGGATCAGATCGCTCCGCGGTTGCCACGTAGACCGCCATGCAACACGGTACTCCAGGAGTGGCGGCTTGCCCTTCCGCACGCGGATCCGGGAATCCAGTATCTTTTTGACCAGCCACTCCTCCTGTGTCGCACCGGCATAGCCAGCCGAGTTTTGAGGCCGACTCCCTGGATGTGGAGAGACGGCGTCGTGGGGTGCACCGGCGGAAGCGCCCACTTTGTCCATGGTAAGAGGAGGAGGGGTTTCTGCATGTAGTAGAAGATCAGCGGGAGAACGCGGGACGGTAATTGAAGCTGTTAAAAAGCCGACCTGGAACTTCTCGGGGAGTCAATGAGGCTCTACCACCATCTGCCATCCCGTCTAGCTCGTCACCATGATCGGTGGGCGCCTCACGGGCAGGCAGCAGTGGCGGGGAAGTCTGTCCAGCTGCGGACTCGCTTGTGGGTTCACCACCGTGACCTATCTCCGTCCACCCATCTACCACGATGAGGCCATCTGGAATAGGGCCGAGGTTAGCGGATCGAGAGGACATATCGTGAGCGAGTCAAGAAGAAAGACGGACCTCTACTTCCACCCAACCGGCATGCGCGAAGGCCAGCTTCAGTGGCACTTTCCGCAGCCGTATCCGCCTCCTCGACAGGTATACCAAGGCGGTCGCTGGCAAAACCGCTCAGATTCGATCCGGAGGGGATGGTGGCGTGCTCGTCGGCATTTCTCCCGTCCCCGCCAAGTGGTTGGCTCCCGTCGTCCGACGAGATCCCCTCCAAAATTCTGTCAAAGTCATTTTTTGGAGTTTCGGTTGGCTGGGACCGTTGGCCTGCAGGGCGAGAAGAGATGGGAGGTGTAACAGAGGGGAATAGGCGGGGGGGCAAAGGGTGTTTGAGCTGCTGTGACGGACAGAGTAGGGAAGTGAAAGAGTCGGCGGTGGGATTGGGTCTACGTGCTGGGGGTTTGGGGTGTGTGGAGATTGCGGGCAGGTTCGGGCTTTGTGGCTTGGTTGCACTCATGGGATTTGGAGGTTGGTAGAATTGGATCTTGTCCATGGTGACTGCAGCCATGGCTTTACTCTCTGATTTTGGTTTCGGGGAAGCCTTGATTCTCGTTCTGCGATCGGTGCTTTCGGGAGGGGAAAATCCGGCGCTTTTATAGCAACTGGAAAAGCTCCTCCATCGGCAGAGCCCAAAGTTTACGAAAATCTCATGGATAGATTCCAGCATCTTCAGAAAACGCCTCGCCTCCTCACTTCAACACCGGGTAGCCGATCGCCATGCAACACACGAATGCAACATCGAGCCAGGGTTCCTCCGGACCACACCGTTCGATCAGGCCGGAGCTACGGACCGTTGAAAGGTCACCATCAAGCACACACCCGGAAACGAGCGAGACAAGCTTGCGTTATCCACGAGGATGGACACAGGTTGGTCATGGGGGCGTAGAATCGTCGACGAATTAGGTACGGAATAACAGGCACATGCGCTGGCACCCACGCCCTTGGGTCATGCAGGAGGCCCCGTCTCATCGTCACACGATCACTGCGCCCCCTCAGCTGCAAACGGCTCAGCGTCAGGTTTGCCGACATCCCTCGCCAATCAACAGAATCGTGGGCCTGGGCGTGGCAGGCAATGCGAAGACGGGATACCGCGCTTGGATACAAGGATCCACGGCCGCAAGAGGAGCCAATGCAAGTATCGATACCAGCCGGAGGCTCAGCGAAGGCGCCATTTTGCGTCCACACCCCTCCCAAATCAGCTCGTAGTGGTCTGTCGCATTCCTCGTAATCTCGCTACGTCGCAGGGAAAGGGGGCACGTTGCATCCACGTAATCTCGGGTTTCGCCGGTATGAGGGATTTTTGCCATTGGCCAAGAGCACAGCGAAAATGCACTCGCAATTGCAGGAACACGCCTCCCATGTTACATCGCAGTGTCCAGCCGAGTGTCACTACGCCCCTGGCGGGATGTTGGATCCAAGCAACCTCGGGTTTCGCCGACGTGAGGGATTTCTGCCATTGGTCCATAGCATATAGCGCATGTGCCGAAATTGGAGTTCGAAGGGAAAGAGAGCTAGAAGAAGGAATGCGAGGAAATGGGGATGTTATCGCACGAGACTCGGAGAAAGCCCCTTGCAGGGGGACATGAGAGACACAAAGGGAGCGAGGGAAAATATTCAAAGAGTAAAGCCGGTTGTCCGTCCTCAAGCAGAGGCGGTGTGCGTGTTGTGTAAATGTAATCTTTAGATTGACGCGGTCCTTCCAAGAAGAGAGAAAATGGGGGGAAAGGCGGGCGCTGACGGGGAGCCTAGAAGGGATTTCGTTTGCAGGGAGGGAGGGGGAAAAAGGGAGCGAGGGCGAAACGGTTCGGGAAGGAAGCTCGGCAGCAGGCTGTGGGAGGGCGAAAGGGGGGAAGCGGCAAGGGCAAAGGGGAAGGGCGAAGGGGAGGAGCGAGGCGAGGAGGGAAAAAATTGAGCAGGTGGAAGGTGCGTGGTCGAAGAGGGAAGAGGAGCGACCTTATATAGGCTCCCGGGACAGATCGATGATGTAACTCAAAGCGGCGAGCTCGAGGGGCGCCAAACCCGAACGGGCGACGGCAGGTTCGACGCGGCCAATGGGCGGGGTCGACGGCAGCACGCCAGGCCCGTTCGGGAAGCAGCGCGAGGGCGAGGCCGTATGCGGCCGCGTACTCACCGTCCGAATGTTTACAATTATTTTTATTATCATTTCTATCATTATTTCTGTCATTACTTCTGCTATTATTTTTTTTTCATTTTATTACTTCTATTACTGCTTTTTTGAATCAAATAAAATCAATATAAAACTTCATTGATTCTTTATTGACTTTGCATTATAATCAAAATAGAGATCTGATATATTTAAATCTTGAAAAAGCAATGATATCTTATTATATCATGAATAAGAAATTCAATCATCAATTTTTCAATTCTTTAAAAACAAATTCTGAATCTGATTTAAAAATAATTTGATTGCTTATTCAATATTATCTGATTGTTTAATTTTTAATTTGATTGTTGCAGATTATTTTATAACTTCTTTTAAAATATTAATATTATTTTCAATTTTTTTTTTAAATGATTGATTTCAAATACTTGTTTCAATTGTGTAAAGGGCGTACATCGATTAACGATCTAGCACTATCCTAAATACAGATTACGAATTGATTAAGGAAAGAAAGAGAAAAGAGATCAGAAGGAAAGGTTGTACGAAGGGGGTTCTTATAGAGGGGAGATCGGGGCGGAAGAATATCAGAAGCCGCCCCGCAGTGGAGCACGGAGCGGAAGAACATTGAGGGTTACGCGGAAGAATCGTTAGAACTACGCGACTACGCGAGCGCGGAGCGTGAGGCAGAAGGGGTTGGTTGCGTAAGTTAACCACTAACGGGTGCTAACCCGTCATAAATTGACATTCTCACAGATGATTGAAATGAGTTAATAGAGTTTTAATAAATTATTTCAAAAAATTCTACAACAGATGTGAGTGTTAAAAAAAATGTGAATATAAATGTCAATTTCTTTTTTATTTCAATATCATTAATATTTTCATTTATCATTTTTTTTTTTTCTTTGTTAATGAATATGATATTTTATAATATAATCATTTATTGTCAATTGATCATCAAACAGTTCCTCAATAAATTCTGAATAGATAAATTTTCAATATTGAAATTGTTGCATTTTCAGATGTTGATTGAAATACACACTGATAATCTCAATATCATTAATAAATGTCATTTTTTCTTAACAGAATGATCATTCAGATATTTGTTGTTGATGTTTATATCACAACTTTCAAATCATTTTAATCTTCCATCATCAATTCTCATATATATCTTTAATAATAGATTGATGTGTATGTTGACTGACAGTATCAACAATTGAAGATCAACCAACATTTTTATAATTGCTATTATCTATTTTCAAATCTCATTTTTTGACATCAATGAAGATATTGAGTATGATCAGCTCTATGTCAGAGATTCAATCAGTTCAAACTCAAGAGCCTTATCAAACTTATTGAGTATAAAATGGGGAGGCTCACTGTGTGGTTTGAGTGGTTAGCATTGAGAATTCAGACTGCTGACTCTTGCTTATCAAGAGTTCATCAAAATATTGTGATGTCAAATCAATCTGAGACTCATCAAGATTCATTTTTCATTAATATTTGATATAAGAAATTAGTAATATAATGGGATTTTCAACTGCAACACATCCGCTGAAATCACATGATAATCATCATGATAAAAACCGCTCATAAGTAATAAAAGTAATGCCAGAACACCAAGCAGATTAATATTTATATAAGAAAAGGCAGTAATAATGAAGGTTTACACTGTCAAAAGGCAAATATCCCCTTTCTGTACAGCCCTGGCACTGTACGGACAAAATCACCGAACAGGCCCTAAGAATATATTCTCGTATAGACGGACTACAGTATAATAATAACAATTACTTTATTAATTATTGTCCTTCATTTTTTCCCAGGGCGACGATAACAATGTACTTCGTGCACCAACTTATATCCACGTGATCAATGGTATTTCCAAGGAAAAGAAATACCTTATTCAACACCATAAACAGATATGGAAACCTAGCATAGTATCGAAACTATTAACAAGCTGGATGAGAAATACCAATTCATATACATAGAGAGATATACGGACTCCTGTATATATTTCCTTTCAGCTTCATCTGTGTGGCTGAGTAAAGATGGGTGACTCTGAAGCACACACAGCATTTAATATCGTTGGCAGGAGAATAAGAAAATAAGAAAATAAGAAAAATAAAAGGCTAAGAATATAGTATATGCACACATCTGGTTCAAGCATGTAACGGCGTCTGGCGCGTGGGCAGGAAGAACCATGGAAAAGAGAAAGCTCCAAAATAATTTACTTACGCGGGCCAGGTGTCGTAAGTTTGCCGTTCACCACTTCACCGGCGCGGCGATAACAAAAACTTGCACAGATATGTACTAAAGGCGTAGCAGTATAAAACAAAACAGCAGGGGGAATAAAATTAGTGTTTAATATATGCAATGAAGTAAAGATATGTAAAAGAAAATAAATAAAAAAGAAAAAGGGAGGTAAGCAATGGGTCAAAAATAATAATAATAAAAAGGTTAATAAATAAAAGAAGAAAGAAATAGTAAAGAAGGAAAATCCAAGAGACGAAGCTAAAGGAGTAAATAGGAGTAATATAAGGCATCCTTATTATAAACGCCGTTGGCCAGCAAACAATAGATTGAGATGGTGAGAGTACGTGCGAAAGAGAACGAAGAATCAGACATGTAGAACTATGGTATTTCGGGGTATCTTTCAAAAGTCTTCATGAGCGCCATTTGTAGCAGTGGATTTCTTGCGACCGAAGATACTTCGAGCGCGTGATTTGGTGCGTAACTGGCCAGGTGCAGGGGAGTTGAGACTTGGTGTCGGTGGCAGCGTGTCATCATCGGACATGTACTTGGGTTTGTATATCCTAAAACTTTTATGTGAGCCAAATGACTGATTGTACATCTAGAGAAACAGCTAGATGCATTAAATAAAAATAAAAATAAATAAAAAAAGAAGAAAAAGGCAACAAAAAGAAGCAAAAACTTACCAACTGTTCCCAACCATGCTCATGCCCTTACTTTCCGCCATTCGATAATATTTGGCCGCTTTCTTCAGGTCCTTTTTGCAACCTAGACCTTCGACATAACAAAAGCCGGCTTCCGCAAGGGCATCCACATCTCCCCAATGACCCGCTATTTCGAAGCAGCGCAGAGCGAGCGCCTTATCTTGTTCTATCCCCCATCCATTCAGATGGCTCACACCCAATTCATAAATGCTGAGCGCAAATTGCACCTGGCGCGCCTTGTTCTCCTGGATATTCCTCCCACGAGACTGAGAGTTGGTAGCATCCAGAATAGCAGAATCGGCTGCTTTGCGAAGCCATTGAACACCCTCCCGTTGGTTGGGCCTCATGCCCCATCCATGGCGACAGGCGAGAGCGTATAGAAGCATACCTGTCGGCTCATTTTGCATGGCTGCGATTCGGAGGTGATATGTAGACTCGTTTAGGGAACCGTTTTCATGGCATTGTATGCCTTTCGCAACATGGTCTTCAGCAGATAAAATAGTATCAGGTGGAGGTTCACCACTACGGCTGGTGTGGGGTCGAAGTGTGGCATTGGAGTCGGTAGATATCGTTAGGGAGTCATCTTGGTCCACCGATCTGGGAGCGACAAAGAGTCTGCTACTCGAATTAGATTTTACCAGGCCCACAGTTTTTCGGGTTCCTTGATCAAAAGAATGTCTTTTTGGGGGTGTTCGATCGGGCCGCTTGACAAGCTTGCCTGAGCTTTTCCGTGGAGCGGGCTTATTTTTCGGTGAGCTTGGGTATTTAGAGATCGGTTCCGATTGTATAGGGGTCTTCGGGTTTAACGGCGATTCCTGAGCCGATAGCGCTGGCGTAGCAGGAGGATGAGCATGAGTCGCGGGCGGCGATGAGGGTTCCTGCTCCAATGTCTCCTTCTCGGGAGCACTTGGGGAAGGGGAGCTTTCGAAGAGTGGCTCGTTCCATTCGAAATGGGGAGTTTTAAGACCAGTAAACACGAGAGAATCGCGCGAGACAGATCTCCCGCGGGGAAGAGCGTATTTCGCGTAGATATAAGATGTCGGAGCCGAAGTTTGTGCATCGTCCACCTCCGCACTAGAATCAGGAGACTCTGGCACAGTAATTGGAGATGGGCGATTTCCCCTCTTCAAAGTCCTCGATTGATATTCATCTGGTTGTTCAGGTCCGGAGAGTGAAGGGGAGGAAATTGAAATAGAAGTGCTAGATCTGCTTAACGGTCGTGAAAAGTTGAAAGATGGACGGTGAAGTGGGGTTGGCATGGGGGAATTTTCGGAAGTCGGGGACGGCGACCGAGGATGGGTTCGGGTGAAATGTGCCATTGGAGATTGAGGCATCGATATACCGCTGCTTGAAGATAGCTTTCTCGGTTTCGAGAAGGTTGACCCTGCCGTCGAACTGGTGAAGTAATCATCGTCAGAGCTTTCGTGCTGAGTAAGTCCCGGACTCCCTGCTATCCGTTTCGCGGAGGAAATAGGAGGTGCGAGGGTATTCGAGGTTTTCCGGTTTGTAGCAGAACTTTCAGGCGGCTCCCGAACCCGGGTGGCTGCTGAAGCATCATAAGAGTTCTGGGATGTCTTTCCCGGGGCTTCTTGTTCGCCCTCTCCGTCTGAATGGAACCATGATGCGTCCTCGGGTGACTCTGCGCGGGGGGCATCTCCGAAAGCACTGTGTGGAATTGGTGGAACTTCTGGGGTCACCTCTGCAGCATTGTGGTCGTTGTCACTATCTAGGTCTTCCGACATTCGATTCAGCATCGGGTGCTGTGATTTTGGCCTGAAGGTAGGTTCCTCAACTTCTCCATTGCGACCATAACTCCCGCCTGATGGGCTGACAGGTGTCTTGTTACTCGGCTCGCCCGGCGAATGTGCTCCGAAGTAGCCAGGCCTTGGTTGGGATAACGACCTGGCAACGCTTGCGGGGGGAAGTCGGCTCATGCGCTTTCCCCCATTCTTTGATTCATCGAGCTGTTTGGCCAAAAGCCGTCCTTGCAAGGCGAATGCATCGAGAGGCGACAGGACAGGAGCTACTTCTCCGTCGAAATGCGAGATGCGGGAGGAGGGTGAGAGGTTTCGCGGTTGAGGTTTTTCCAGATTGTACTGGGAATCAGATTGGCCATTGCGGGTCATAGTCGGTAACGAGCGTCTATGTTGAAGGACTGAGTCGTGGAATCAGAGGTTTTGTCCTAACGGACGATCCAGTGAACGATAATCTGCGAGGCTATAGAGACAGTTGATGAGAGGTTGTCGAAATACGGGACGCCAAACAGCGACTCTGGGGTAAGTGGTTGTTCTTCGACTTCTTCAACCACATCGGATTATTGGGGATGATTCTGCCCTGGCACCATCTGGAGAAATAGATACTGGCGGGAAAGATAAATCTATATGTGCGCAAGAGGGATGGTCCCCTTCGATGGGCGTGGCGACTCTCGCGATGGTTGGGAGTGTTGGTTGGTGGGTATTTTAAAAGGGGACGGAAGTCAGCGCCCAGAACTTTTGAAACAAAGAATGGAAACCCCCAGGATGAGACGGTGGCGGAGAGATGACTAGGACAGTGAGAACTGTATCGGTCAGTAGCTTGTAACTCGAAAGGCGATACGAAAGGCGAGGAGGACGACGGATGAAGGGGTTGGATGAGGGATAGGAAACCAACCAAGCGTGTCAGATCCTCAGAGGAGGAGGAAGTGTTCCGGCCAGGATCAGCCAACGCCGCCCAGCCCGCCTTTAATTAATCAAACCAAGAGCAGGGGCCCAGGTTATTTTTGTTGTTTATTTATTGATTTTGGTTTTTCCCTCTCCCTCTCTTCAACGTTTCGAATGACGGGTTTATTATTGTTGTTTAATTTTACGATTTCCAACCTTGTTTGGCTGCCAGGCCCCACGAACCCCTTTTTGCAACCTTGGTTACAAGATATTCTTGCCGCGGTTTTCCAACATATTTCTGAGCCCAGTTCCTTGGCCCAGCAAATAACAGTCGAGAGCGCATTCGACCGCGTTGCTCAAGCCATGTCGAAGTTGTTATGGTCTTGGACTTCAGAATGGTTGAACCCCCAACAAGCCCCTGGAGGGGGTGCATGTGTATCACCAAACTGACTCGTCGTTCGTTATGGAGCAAATACGCAGGGCAATGCAATCTATCCCGGTTGGTTTGTTCCTCGATCCGCCCCACCACTTAAGCTTGTTATTCCTCGATGATGTCAGATCCAAATTTAGGCACTCGGTCATCGTGGTTGGTGATACGCGACGTAAATAAACACCGGACTGAGAATCATACAGTTAGTTGGCAGTTGGTGGACTGTGTGTTCCTTCTGCCCGTTCACATTGGCTTCTGAGAAATATTATGCCTTTGCCAACATTATCGCTGTTCCTGCACACAACACACACACATACTCTCTCTCACACACACACACACACACAAAATGCTAGTTGCTTTGCATATGAATTGTGATTTATCTCCTCGGGGGGTTGAGCAGTTTCAACGCGTGCAGGAACTGTAACCCCTAATTTCCCTGTCTGGAAAATAAGAAGTGCCTTTGATAGATAGGTTTCTAGTCAGAGAGAAGTCTTATTTTTAAATCGATTTAGTATAATTGCGGAACTTACTTGGTTTTTTTCCCCTTCGGACGACAAACTCAAGCAGATAAACCAGAGGCTTCATAAATATACGCATCTACATGTTTCCACCACGTCCTCCCTCTGATCCTTCCCACTACTCAAACGGCAACAATTTCACATTCCCTTCAACCCACGCCATAATCGCTACAAGCTTCGTGATCTGGAATGGATTCCCGCCGCTTGCGTCCCCTTGTGATACCCATTTCAATTCAATGTCATACCGGCCTTGATTCGTCTCTGTTATATTGGTGCGGCTTTTCAGAGAAATAAAAAACTAGCAAAAACACGTGAGAATCCAAGAGCCGGTGGTGGAACCGATCAAATCCAGATTCTTCATCCCGTCGAAGATATGCTGGCCTCCCTCGGCAACCTTCTTGACCAGCGTCACCGCAAAGTTACAAATGGCAAAGGCTGATTTGGGGACTCAATTGTCTCCGGTCCTGGTTGCGAGAGGGTGATCAGTATAGCACTGTATGCAGGTGCCCATGTTGTCAGCACGTTCGCGAAATAAACAGACAGATCTCCCCATCCCCCACCGCTTCACCCTCACAACTTTCATTCCTTCTTTGTTCCCTGTATCTCCCCGGCCTGTGTCATGCTTGCATCTCAGCCCACTTTGGAATATGCTGTCCGGTATCCACCTTATCCGTGAGCCGTTTCCAACTCGCGATCGTGGCCCTAGCTGTTGTCGTTGTTGCTTCCGCACCGAAACATATCGAATAGTCAATGACGAGATCGAGAGGGATGAGCACCCTGTCAGCAAGCCTGTCCAATTGATAGGTATCGGCATGGTATCTTTTTTTGTTCATGGTCATGTTCATTAGTGTTATTTATTATTAGTCTCTAGTACAGACGACCGATGAAGCTTCATTCTTTCCTGTGCCGTTGCACCCTTCTTTTTCCTTAGGCCCTTCTGGGATCGCGGCTCACCATCTTCCTGATGACATCGTGGATGTAGCTTCTGCATTTTTGATGACAACATGTGGAATATATATGTACTATACTTTCGAGACACACACACCCTCCGCGCTGACACTTACTCTCGGGTATAGTTCTTATTTGCAAAAAACCTATCTACGTGCTGCTTTTCTATTTCAAATTCATCGGAGTGACTTTCTCCCCTCCTTAAACCCAAAGTTCATGCAGAGAGCATTGTTTTCGAACTAGGCGGGCTGAGCAACCCGGTATGGGTTTTACCATCGAAGGGGGAAACAAAGGCAGTAAGAGGAGGAGAGGCCAAGGGGAAAGAAATTCAAACACAAACCAAGTGAGGTGTATCCCTTACTTATCACGCAATTATCATAAAATGCTGTCCGTCGAAAATACCCCAATGTTGCTAATTTTGAGGAACTAAATGCCAGTTAGCTGTATGCAACGAGCATCAGCGAGTCCAATTGCCTCATAGCCAGTACGGCCATTTTAGATACGCAGGAGTTTAATCAGCTATTCGGGCCTTGGCGCATATACACTGAAAATACTCGAAGCGATAATCGGTTAGCCAGTATGATGTTGCCCAAGAGTCGGATAGAAGCATGATATCAATGAGAAAATGGCAACCATGGTGAACCCTTGATTTAGGGTCCATCCACCACCTTAGAGTGAAAGCAACACTCTGGCCAACAATTGCTATGCCTGCCCTTGGTTGAACGTTCGCAATCAAGCGGCAGAAGGGTACCATGTACAGTACGTGTGAAATATAGCCGAAACGCTTTATCTATAAGAATATAAAATGATGGAAATCTTTCGAGCTTGCGCGCTTCAAATGTTCCAGTATTTTCCCAGAAGCCATGCAAGTAGAAGTCATGGCCCAGGGATGCCTCAAATTTCTGGGCCATAGAGAATCTAACTACTACTCCCAGTCATGCATCTGCAACCACCTCCAGAGTATCCGTATCGACGATAATGTTTCTCCGTGAGAAGGTCATTATAACAGAGAGCATCTTCCTTTCCAAAATGAAGGCTTCACAAGCCAATGATCCTGATTGTCACAGGGTTAGTGTGACTTGTACTAGTTATGAACTGTTCAGCATCTTCCGGAGTCTCTCCCAACCTGGGGTCTGAAAATGTCATGGAGAATTGCCCCGGCCAGTTGCTCCATAACAAGTTCACAACTCCCCATCAGTCTTCTCGACGCTCGCTCAGGGTTGTGGAATTTATGGAATAAACTGAAGAGCCAGCAGCTTCGCTTGGAAGACTATTATTTCGAAGGCCCGTTGAAGACTCTGCGCGCACCAGACAGAAATTCTCATGCGCGATGATGAAACAATGTACTCCACAACAAGGAGTTAAAGTTCGCCGCCAGAATGAAGCCAGGCAATTAACTACGTACAGTTGTTGGCAGGACTGGAGATAGCCGTCTAAAACTGGAGCAGAAGGTCAGATGAATGATGAGCGAGTGAGTGGAGGGCAGTTGGGGGATGAAGGACAGGACGTCGTAGTATGCTGACTGTCATCGCAGATGTCGTTGTGGAATCAACGATGAAAGTCTGGGGGTGGCGGAATGGTCGGTGCAAGGCGCTCAGAAGAAACGCGCATGTGGCGACGCTTCCAATCTTGGAACCTTGGAAGCGTTGTGGAGCATCAGCAGATCAAACGCTGCCAAGCAACGACGTTAAAACGCAAATGGCTCGCCAGGTTACTAATAAGCGCCCCCCGCCTTTCGCCTGTCTCACGGGCGTGGCTGTGGGGACATCGTTTCCACCGTCTTCTGTCGAATGGCTCGAAGTTACCACGTAGTTATTCCAACCCTAGATTGGGACTTGACCCTTTTGTTTTGAGGGTTTATAACTGAGCCATGGCACAGTTCATCTCTTTTTCACCAGATTTATTTAAAACCGTGCGATACTGCCACAAATCTCCCTTCCCCTGTCTTTTACATCCTCGCCCCTATACAAAGAGCCACCGATCAACCGGGACAATCAGAGCGCATAACTCGTTATATATATAGTTGCCAACAACTAGGTTATTAGGACCAATATACATACAAGATAACCAGTGTGCAGCATGCAGTCCATGAACGTTCTCATGGGCGCAGACCCAGCCCATGACAAACTGCACCACTTTGAAACCTCCTGGTTATTCTCCCCACTTGTCTTCGGAGTGCTACGTCTGATCATCTTTTTATATTGCCTGTTGGTCCTCATAATTGTATCCGCATTGGAGAGCTCCGTGGGTAGAGGGTTCCTTAACAGGCAATCCTTCAGTTATTTCACCTCCCTGGCGTTCAGTGGCGTTCAGTGGTACTTCCTCGTTTCTGGCGTGCATTCGCTCCTCTATGCCTTTAAAGGACGGTCTGTTCTGTTCGACAAGTGGCCCCGATGGCTGCGCTCCTTGCATAGCCTGTATTACACCACTGTTGTGTGCTACCCTTTCGTGGTCTCGGCGATATATTGGTCGGTATTATATCGCAGGAGCCCTAGAGTCTTACTCAGATTTGAGGTGTGGGAAAATGTAAAGATATCCCATCCCTCTCTTTTTTCCCAACACCATATGTGAATGTACTCTACCTATTCTAACAAAATATTCCCGCCGCAGATCTCCAAACATGCTCTCCCACCCTTCTTCGCTCTATTTGAGATTATCTTCTCGACGGCACGTCCACCGCCAGTGTTCCATCTTGTGTTGCTCTCCGTCATCCTTCTCCTCTACTTGGGGATCGCTTACATCACCCACGCAACCCAAGGTTTCTGGGTATACCCATTCCTCAGGCCTCGCCGTGGCAGACATGGGGCCAGTGTGGCAAGATATCTCGCCATTATCGCCGCAGTCCTCGTTCTCACCTTCGCGTTGGTATGGGGCATCAGTTTCATTAGGAAGCGGCTGGTGGGCTCAAAGACGAAATACGCCAAGACCGATCCTGAGCATTCGAATGCAGCGCGCGAGGGCAGTGACCCAGATACCGAGGCCGCTCAAGACGTCCTTGACACTAGTGTTGAAGAGACCAAGTGATGACGACGGGAAGTGTTGACATCGTTTCTTTTGTTATTAATTTTCCGTTCTCCCAGGTCATTTATTATTGTATTATACATATATATATATTTAATGGTTTTCAAAGACGATACAATTGGTTCGGGCTCCTGGATTTATGGCTAATGGATGGATGTAATGATGCTGCCAAATTTACATGTATTTCGTTATATATATATGCGCCTGTTTGCATCTCTTTTCATGGCACGCGCAAAATCAAGTAATGAGATGAGAAGAAAGGGGAAACAAAGTTGACATTCGAAACCCCCCCTAAATACTACGTTGAAAAAAAAAAAAAAAAAGAGGAAAAGAGCCGAGTCATTTTCCAAAACTCCCAATCACGCATACCCAGTCATACCGCAACAGCACACGGCTGGTGAGCCCTGAAGCCCCAGGGTGGATGTAAAGTGTCAGTGCACTCACGACCACAGGCTTCACAAACCCACCACCTCGGACCCCAAGAGGGCAACGCCTTCGAACAATGTCTACATGCAAAATCATCGCGATGCTTTCTGTGCCTCCGTTTGCGTCTCATTCTGGTTTTCTCACGCTCGTGCAGCTGCGCCAGACACTGGCTGTCGGGGAGGGTTTTGCATGTGCTGCACAACAGGCAGCCATTTCCGAACGGGCTTGTGTCAAAGCTTCCTCTTGAGCCATGAACGTTACCTGTAAGTGGAAAATTGCGATTGCAGCACCTGTCGGTGTCATTTAGACGCATGCTGATCTTGTTATAGTAGCAAGGGGAACAGTAGGGCTGGCAGGTTTCTTCGTGGAGGGTGTCGAGTTGAGGTCTGGTAAAGGGCCTTGACTCGCCGCATGACTGGGTTATGAGAGGATCCTGTTAGCGGTATACTGATAGTGGGAAATAAGTTGCGATTAGCAAGGGGGAGGGAATATATCATACTCCACATATGGGAAACCGGCATAAGAAGCACGCGGTTTTTGTATCGCTATCACAGGTATATACCCCCAGGATGCCCAGCTCACTGCCGAGATGGCCATCTGGGAAAACCGTCTGTCGCATTTCCTTTGATGTCAAGCTCAAGTTTACTAAGTCCTGATAGTGCAAGTCTTGGGCGACAAGAGTCAGAATATCGATATGCAGGAACCTTGCCAGTGGGTTGCTTTGGTTTTTGGATTTGCCCTGGACCTCTTTAGGTTCTGGAGGAGGCTGGTGGCGTTTGGATTTTGTAAAGGATAGAGGAAATTGATGGTGCACTTCCCGAACAGGCATGTAGACCAATTGGCTCATTTTGTTAATGCAACGAAGACGGAAGCGTAATTGCGATTGCACAGGCCTAGGCAAGAAATGTATTGAATATCGGGGAACCGTAGCGACAATTTCACAGATAAAATATGGGATGAGAGATAAAACTCTAAGCGCTGTCAAGATGTACGGCTCCTTTCTTCTTCTTTCAGGGCGCATATCTGATCGAACGACCCTGATCGAGATAGCCAGGCTAACGATGACGTTAAAGAATGAAACTAGAATATATATAACCCTGAATTCAATTAATTGCTGAAACAATATTTTTAAATAAAAAAATTAAAAATAAAATAAAAATAAAAATGAAAGCATTGTCCGCAGGTCAACAGGGAAGCGGTCGTACATACAGAGATCCAATCCCAAACCTCCATTGAGATACAAAATCTTTACAGATCTTGTCAGATGGAACGTGCATTTCAGGTTTATCAGGATAGGTATTAAGAGTTTCAAGAATATGGAAGTAGCTTCCATTGCCGTTCGCAGTGGGAACTTGCCAGGTATCTGCGTTTTTGCAGGGCCCAGCAGAATGGGGAATATACGTTCCCTGACGCACCGTGGCGAGAGCAAAATAGACCGTGATAGTGGTATCAAACATCCCGATAATCGTGACGCAAAGGCTCGGCGAGGCAATGGTCGGTAACCAAATGGCAAAGTTCCACCAGAATCCAATTTTGCTCTATTATAGAGAACAGAAAGGACATCGGATTAGTCTCCTTAAGAAAGATGGAAGGACACAAAACTTGCAGAAAATAAAACAAAAGGCAAAAACGGAAGAACGCAATAAGAAAAGGTTGGTGCGAACCCATTTTGAAGCAAGATAGCTCAGGTACAGCGTATCAGGGTTGAAGGGCGGCTGTTGAACGACGGCGGCGTGCGCCTTGACATATTTATAAGTACCAGATGCCAGAGACATGTAGATGCCCAATACTATATGTCCGACAAATCGAAGGACGCCAGAGGGGATACCACTGCCAAAGACAAAGGCACCATCATATTCTAGCCACTTCATACTGACTCGACTTCAATAACGATTTGTGTATTTCTATCAGCTTGACAACAAAGAGCGGGCAAGACAGGCTCGCATGGCGTTGGAAGAGAAGAAAAATCGAGAGAAAACAACAACGATGCCCCAAGAGGCAATCGTTGAACGTATGTCAACCATGATGAAAGGAGATGGCTTTATATGATTGTTCCCAAGAATCCGAGGAATCGTTCGCACTTCGTATTTGCTGCGGGATTCTGCCTTTTGGAGTTGGAAACAGCCGAACGAGGCTCCGTGAAGACGCTGCGAATGACTCGGTGATGCGGTTAAAGCCCCAATTAGCAGGCCCCAATGTCCGTACCTGGCACAGCCCTCTAGTTAAGTTAGTTGGCTGTTGCGATGCTGCTTGTATGTTGTTCCCTCCAATTGCGGCCTAGTCATCTGATTCTAGCATTCGACATAATGAACGAGTCAAACATCACTGAAATAGTTCTATGTTATTGAGGCATTTAGGTTGAGAAAAGCCTGGGAAACGGTTACAGTTATCAAAGGAAGGTTGGCAATGGGAAGGTTAACTAGTAACTGCTAGTAACTTTTAACTATCAACACATCATTCGCATTCATGATGTGCATCCTTCACCTCCTCACACGGGCGCAAAAGATATACCATTGTCAAGATGTGCAATAGGTGGTAATCGACTAGAAATGTGTTGCCCTGTTGGTCCTGCTCCAGAGTTAGATGTTTATGCACGAATTTTTTGAATTCATTTATATACCTTGAAAATAGATCCACAGATCTCAAAGTCGTCAACGTGGTAAACTATACTATTGATGAGTAAACTTTCTACTGGAAGGCAAAATATTATCTGGCACCAATCCATACCCTCTCCCACTTAGCGGTCTTATTTCATTACACTTGAAGAAGCAGAGAGAAAAAAGGTAGCCAGGGTTGCTATGTGAGCTAGTAAAATATATAGTATTGATAGTGTGCAATTATTCGCTAATATGTACGATCTCCCTACGTAACGCGATCCAGAGTACAGTACA